GTAGTAGTAGTGGTAGTAGTAGTAGTAGTAGTAGTAGTAGTGGTAGTGGTAGTAGTAGTAGTAGTAGTAGTAGTAGTAGTAGTAGTAATAGTACTAGTACTAGTACTAGTAGTAGTTTTTTTCTAGTAGAGTAGGAGTAGTAGTAGGTAGTATAATAGTAGTAGTTTAGTAGCAAGCAGCAGCATTAGTAGTTGATCCTCCTCCTACTCCTCCTCCTTCTCGCCCTCCCCTCCTCCTCCTCCTCCTCCTCCTCCTCCTCCTCCTCCTGCCTCCTGATCCTGCTCCTGCCCCTCCGCCTCCTCCTGCTCCTCCTCTTCCTCTTTCTTCTACTCCATCCTCCATTACCTTTTCTCCATCATTCATTATGCTCCCTCCTTCCTTCCCTCTCTCCCTCCCTCCCTCCCTTCCCTCCCCCTCCGCGTGCCGATGCCTCCGCCTCCTCGCGGTCGCCTCGTTCTTGGTGTGCTTGCCAGGTTAACTCCGAAACGGCTTGAGCGTCTGATATAGCTGTGATATTAAAAGCGAGTCGCAACGTAATCTCCGTCGCCATCTTTCTCTTGCCGTTCCTCCCTCCTCCTCCTCCCTGCTGCTGCTGCCGCTGCTGCTCCACCTCCTCGTCAATGCTCCTCATCCTTCTCAGCTTCAGCTTCAGCATCAGCCTCAGCCTCCTCCCCAGCCTCCTCCTCAGCCTCCTCCTCAGCCTCCTCCTCCTCCCCTCCCGAGGAGGCAGCCGTGCGGGGGCCCCCGAGCTTGGGGTCACCGGGCCTGGAGGCCTCGAGGTCCAAGGCCTCCGTGCACGAGCGGTTGTACGCCGAGCACCAGACGAAAGCCGCAAGGCGGCCCTGCGGGGGCCCTCCTCGCTCTTGTTGTCATCGCCCCCCCTCGGAGGAGGACAAGAGGAGGGTAAGGAGAAGGAGGAGGAGGAGGAGGAGGAGGAGGACAATAGGAGAATGATAAGAAGGAGGCGGAGGAGGATGACAAAATGAGGAGGAGGAGGAAGCAGGAGGGGGAGGAGGAGGAGGAGGAGCAGGAGGAGGAGGAGGAGGAGGAGGAGGAGGAGGAGGAGGGGGTGAGGAGAGGGGAGGCGGAGGAGGGAGGAGGAGGAGGAGAGGAGGAGGAGGAGGAGGAGGGGGAGGAGGAGGAGGAGGAGGGAGGGGGGAGGGGGAGGGGGAGGGGGAGGGGGCATGAGAGGAGGGAAAGCAGGAGAAGGAGGAGGAGGAGGAGGAGGAGGAGGCGCGGTTGAGGATGCAAAAAGGCGCCTGTATGGCCTGAGAAGTGCACCTTTCTTCCCTCTTCCCCCCCCCCCTTTATCGCCCTCCCTTTAGCGACGCCCAGAAAGCCTGGGTTGCACTGACCCGGGCTAGCGCGGAGAATCCTGCAGGATCCTGCAGGATCTCGCAAAGCCTCTAACTGATCCGGGCTTGCCTTGACCCGGGTCAGTAGAAGCCCGAAGGAGGCGCGGCCAGCTAGGGGGGGGCGCAACCGAGTCGGGAGCGGGCAGGCTGAAATATATGGATCCGCTACCCCCAGTGGAGGAGCAGCGGAGGGCGACAGCGAGTCAGGCGGCCGCATGGGTGCAGAATTAAAAGGCTTTCTCCGCGCTCTCGCGCCTGGCGCCGACCGCGCGGCCGCGCTGGCCGACGTGCGCCCACGGCTGGTCGTGGCCGCGGCGCGCGGCACTGCGGCCATGCTGCAGAGCGCCGCTGGACCGCGGGCCCGGCCATGGCGGTCGCTGGCCCAAGCGGTCGGCCGCGGCCGCTGACGCCGCCCTCCTCCCCCTCTCCTCCTCCCCCTCCTCGTCCTCCTCCTCCTCCTCCTCCTCATCCTTCTGCTCCTCCTGCTTCTCCTCCTCCTCTTCCTCCTCCTCCTCCTCCTCCTCCTCCTCCCCCTCCTCCTCCTCCTCCTCCTCCTCATATCATCATCATCATCATCATCATCTCTCATCATCATTTCATCATCATCATATTCCTCTCCATCATCATCATCCATTCATCACACAACATCAATTCATATCATCATCTTCCATCATCATCCACCTTGTCCTCTCCTCTCCTCGTCCTCCTCCCCTCCTCCCTTTCCTCTCACCCCCCCTCCTCCTCATCCTCCTCCTCCCCTTCCTCGTCCTCCTCCTCCTTTCCTCCTCTCCTCCTCCTCCTCCTCCTCCCTCTCCTCTCCCTCTTGCTCCTCCTCCTCCTCTTCTCCTCCTCCTCCGAAACATCCACACCCTCCTCCTCGTTTCCTCCTCATCCTCCTTCCGCCCATCTCCCTCTTCTCTTCCTCCTCTTTCACCTCCCTTTCCTCCTTCTCTCCTGCTCCTTTGCTTCTCCTCCTCCTCCTCCTCCTCCTCCTCCTCCTCCTCCTCCTCCTCCTCCTCCTCCTCTCTCCCCTTCTTCCTCTAATCCCAGTGGCTGTCACGTTGTCGCTTCGCTTCCGTGAGTCCCCCTCATCCTCCTCTCCTTCTCCACTCCTTGCCTCTGGCGGGTGGGCGAGCGCTTAACGGCGGGGTGGGTGGCTCAGCACCCCCCATCCGCGCACCCGTCTTCTTCCGCTTGCCGGTTCTCTTCTTGCTCCCTTTCCCCTCATTCTTCCATGGCCGCGCCTGGAGGGCGCTTGGCCCGTCGAAGGTGGACGGGGGGCGCCCGAGCGACAGCCGGCTCCGAAGGAGGGTCGTGCCCGGCCGATCCTAAAAGGGGATTTGCCCGAGCTGTTGGCGCGGTGGCGAGACCTGGGACCATAACCCCAAAGCCTGCGGGTCCCCTGCGCGACGGGTGTGGGGACAGACTCGGGTGCCCCCAGGCCGCGAGGACAGGAGGAGGAGGAGGATGAGGAGGAGGAGGGGAGGAGGAGGCGGAGGAGGAGGATGAGAAATAAGAAGAAAAAGAAGAAAAATAATAATAAGAAGAAGAAGAAGAGGAGGAGGAGCAAGAGGAGGAGGAGAAAGGATGACAGAGGGAGGAGGAAGGAGGAGGGAGGAGGGAGGGATAGGGGAGGAAGGAGGAGGGAGAGGGAAAGAGAAATGAGGCGGAGAGGAGAGAGAGGAGGACAGGGGAGGAGGGAGGAGGAGAGGCAGAGGAAAGGAGGACGGGAGGACGAGAGAGGATGAGGAGAAGAGGAGAGGAGGAGGAGGAAGGAGCAGGAAGCAGGGGAGGAGGAGAGGAGGAGGAGGAGAGAAGGAAGAGAAGGAGGGGAGGGAGGAGGAGAGGAGGAGGAAGAAGAGGAGGAATGCGCAGGTGGGGGAGCAGAGCGGAGAAGGAGGAGGAGGGTAGGAGGAGGGAAGGAGGAGGAGAGGAGAGGAGGAGGAGAGGAGGAGGAGGAAGGAGGAGGGAGGGGGGCGGCGGAGGGAGGAGGGATGCGGGGAGGACGGAGGAGGGGGGGGGATACGGAGGCGGAGGAGGGGCGAGGCGGAGCAGGAGGAGGAGAGGAGGAAAAGGAGGAGGAGGAGGAGGAGGAGGAGGAGGAGGAGGAAAGGAGGAGGAGGAAAGGAGGAAGCAGGATGAGGAGGAGGAAGAAGAGGAGGATGCGCAGGAGGAGGAGGAGGAGGAGGAGGAGGAGGAGGACGAGGAAGCAGGAGCAGGAGGAGGATGAGGAGGAGGATGAGGAGAAGGAGGAGGAGGGAGGCGGAAGCAGGAATAGGGAGAGAGGAAGGAGGGGAGGAAGGGAGTAGGAAAGAGGAACGAGGAGGGAGGAGTCCTGTGCATGCGCGTCCTGGGCGCAGGGGGGCTGGGGCCGCCGCCCAGCCTGGTGAGGCGCACGCAGGCGGAGGAGGAGAAGAGGTGCCGGGAGGCCGCGAACGAGGCCGCGGACGAGGCCGCGGGGCTGCCGCACGGTGGGGGGGCAACGAGGAAGATGGAGGCGGCGAGAGGAGGATGAGGAGGAGGACGAGGAGGAGAAGGAGGAGGAGCAGGAGCAGGAGCAGGAGGAGCAGGAGGAGAAAGAAGGGGGAAGGGGCTGGATGAGGAGGAGGATATGAGGAGGAGAATGCGGTGGGGAGGAGGAGTGTTGGAGTGGGGAGGATGAGGAGGAGGAGGAGCAGGCCCGAGAAGAAGGGAGCATGGAGGAAGGATGAAGCATGAGCAAGGAGGGTGAAGGAGGACGGAGGAGACCGGAGGAGGAGAAGGGAGGGGCTGGGAAGATGACGGGGACAGACGTCGAACGCGAAGGAGGAGGAGGAGGAGGAGGAGGAGATGAAGGAGGAGGAGGAGGACGACGAGGAGGAGGGCGACGAGGAGGAGGACGAGGAGGAGGAGGAGGACGAGGAGGAGGGCGAGGAGGAGGAGGAGGCGGAGGAGGAGATGAGGAGCACCAGGAGGAGGAGGAGGAGGAGGAGGTGGAGGAGGAGGCGGAGGAGGCGGAGGAGGCGGAGGAGGAGGGAGCAGCAGGAGCGAGAGAGGGAGCGGGGCCCCCCTGGGTTGGCCGAAGACGCCCTGCAGGAGCTGCGGCAGCGCGGCCGCAAGAATCTCCGAGAGCTCCAGGAGTCCATCAAGAAGCTCCACTCCGGGGGAGCCCCGGCCGCCCGAAGGGGCCCTGGGCGCGGAGCCAGACGGCGGCTGGCTTCTCTCGGCTCTACGGCCTCTAGCGGGCGGCCTCCGGCCCCAGGGCAGCCAAGCAGGTCCCCGGGCCTGCGCGGAGAGATCGCCCCCCTCCCTGGGTGGGAGTCGAGAGATGCGGGGACCCCGTGTAGAAGATCACGATGTCGGAGATCTGTGTTGCGCTGGACTCTTCTCTCTCTCTCTCTCTATCTTTCTCTTTCGCTTTGTCTGTTGTCTCTCCCCCCCTCTGTCTATGTATGTACAGATGTAGGTGTGTGTGTGGTGTGTGTGTGTGTTTGTATCTGTCTCCCTGGCTCTCCATCTCTCTCTCTCTCTCTGTTTCCGCCCGTCGTTCTTCGCATATGTGTCACGCACCTCTTCTCAGGAGGGGAGGAAGGGAGGAGGAGCAGGAGGAGGAGGAGGAGGAGGAGGAGGAAGATGATGAGGAGGAGGAGGAGACGATGGGGAGAAGCTTGGAGGGGGCGAGAGGGAGGACGTGGCATGCATGAGGAGAAGTTATCAGAAAGTCAGAGTGGAGAAATGGCAGGGAAAGAGGGATGACACGAGAAGCACGATGATAGTTCTAATGGTGGTGATGATGATGGTGATGGGAATGATGATGATGGTGGTGGTGGTGGTGATGATGAAGAAGAAGAATAAGAGGATGGTGAGGATGAGGAGGAGAAGGACGACGACGGATGGTGGATGATGGATGATGTTGATGATGATGTTGTTGCTGCTGCTGCTGATGATAATGATGATGATCATGATGAGTGGGAGGAGGAGGATGTTGTTAAAATGCTGATGATGGTGCTGCTGCTGCTGCTGCTGCTGATGATGATGATGATGATGATGACCAGGATGATGATGATGATGATGATGATGATGAGGAGGAGGAGGAGGAGGAGGCGAGGAGGAGGAGGAGGAGGAGACGGATGATGATGATGCTGATGATGATGGTGATGGTCATGGTGATGATGACGATGATGATGATAACGAAGACGACGATGATGAGAATGAGGATGAGGATGAGGATGAGCATGATGCTGATGATGATGATGATGATGATGATCACGATCATGATCATGATCATGAACATGGTGATAATGATGGTGCTGATGCTGCTGATGATGATGATGATGATGATGATGATGATGATGATGATGGTGATGGTGATGATGACGATGACGATTATGACGACGACAACGACGATGATGAGGAGGGGGAGGAGGAGGAGGAGGACGAGGAGAAGGAGGACGTGGAGGAGGAGAAGGAGGTAGAAGGGAAGTGGAGGAGGAGGAGGAGGATGAGGAGGAGGAGGAGGAGGAGGGAGGAGGGAGGAGGAAGCGGGAGGGGGTGGTGAGGAGGAGGAGGTTGAGAACGATGGGCACGAAGACGAGGACGATAATGACGAGGTGGGGGAGGAGGAAAAGTAGGAATAGGAGGAAAGAAAGGTAAGGGAGGAGAGGGAGCGATGGAGGAGGACGGAGGAGGAGGAGCAGGAGGAGGAGGAGGAGGAGGACCAGAGTAAGCCCAAGATGCGCCAGCGATGCTGCAATACACCCTCCTGTCCCACGGCCCTTCCACATAAGTCCCCACAGCCTTTCTTGTTTGTATTACAAGAAGCGTCCCCAGTAACTACCATACCCATACGGGCCTGCCATTCAATCGAGACTCTTTTGAGACGGAAGGTCCAGAATCAGGAATACGAAAAGGTGTAAGCATGCAGTTTAGGAACATGTCCAGCGATATTCCCGTTTTGAAGAGGACCCCCATCAGTTTGACCGCTGCACGTGTTTACATTTCTGGTCATTGACTTCTAGGAAGTCTCAAGCGAGGGACCCATTTTGAAACAGAGCCGCACTCCTCCAGTGCTGCAGGCGCATTCAACGTGAAGGGGTTGTCCAAGCGAGAGCCCCATTTGTGGAAGGAGCCGTCCTCCAACCTTGTAACCGGATGCAAGGTTTTAAGAGAAATGTGCGCGGCGCCAGGGCGAGAGCACCATTTTGTTTAAGGCAGCAACAACAACAACAATTACTAGCACGTGGGGACACACCGTTCTCATCAGTGCCAGGGTTTTCATAGGAGGCGGGCAATACCCCCACTTTGTGGGGGGGCCGTTTCAAGCTCTACAAAATTTCCAAACGACTCTTCGCCACCACCCACACCCAGCTTCCCGCCCTATGACGTTCGGACACTTCACTTCGTGGCATGCGGACGACCGTGGCTACTATTCAGGGCCCCGCGTCCGACGACGACGGCGTGCGCGCGCGAAGAAAAAACGAATGTGTCCCGCATGGTATTATTTGACAGGGATGATGGCCCTGGCAGGTGCGCAACCGTTGTCGCAGAAGTTCGAAAAAAGTTGCTCGCAAAAGCCCGTTTGACAGAAATGTTTAAAAAGTGTTTGGTTTCCTACGAATCCGCAAGAGCGCGCGGGATGAGATTTTGACATTTTTTTGTTGAAAAACCATTGGTTTTTTGATGTTTTTATGTTAAAATCGCTCCGAACACTAAGCTTTTGGAAGGATTTCGTCTTGCGCGCGCGAATGTCCACTTTACCTTATTTTTTGCAAGTGATTCTTGAAATTTGATTATATTAGAACAAGAAATGTCCCCTTTACTTTTTGTTTTTTTTTTTTGCAATGGAAAACCGTATCGTAAACAAACACAACCGGATCCGGATTCCCCCGTTTTGCCTGAGACTTCCTCACGAAAATGATGAAAATGAGGCTGCGGCCTAGGCGCGGCGGGGGGGTCGTGCACCAGGGGCCCCAACAATAATTATTCTTTAGAAGTAATAATGTTCAACAACAACAACAACACTAACAATAATTTTAAGTCTGTTCGCCTTTATATGCTCGAGTGTCCAATAACGCGTATTTCCCAAACCCTCGATGCCACGCCCTCTCCGTCTTCGATCGAACCCCTCTTGGGGGGTATACCTTTCTTCCCTGCAGGCCGGGCCCCGGCAAGCGGCGGGGCGGCCGCGGACCGTCGGCCTGGCCAGCGGCAGCGCTGATCGGCGGGGCGGCCGCGGACCGTCGACCCGACCCCAAGAGGGACGGACAGGGGACCGACCACGACGACGACGACGACGACGACGACGTCGAGACGACGACGCGACGACGACGACGACGGCGACGACGAGCGAAAGCGAAAGCGAGAGAGAACGACAGCAGGGCCACGAAGGGCACGAAGTAGGCCACGAAGGGCGACAGCGGGGACACGAAGGGAATGCGTATGGGGCCACGAAGAGCGCGAACGAGCGGGGGCCACGAAGTGCAGATAATGCGGGGCCACAGAAGGCAACTACGGGGCCACTGAGGGTATCAACTGGGCCACGTAGGACAGTGCGGGGGACACAAATTGCGACAGCGGGGCCACGAAGGGCATGCACATAGGGCCACAACGGGCGCGACTCCTGGGTGCCTGGGTGTCGGTAGCGCGGCGCGTGGGCAAATTGCAGGAAATTCAAACGCAAGGCCATTCTTCAATAAGTTGCAGGCAAGTCTCCAGCGAGAGCACGACTCCAGAGCGCCGGGAAAGCGATTCCTGAATAAATTGTAAGGAAGTCCCAAGCGAGAGAGCGATTCTTCAATCAAATGCGAGGAAATCTCGGGCGGGAGCGGGGGTCCTGGCTAAATTGTAAGGAAGTCTCAGGCGGGAGCCGCTGTTGTTGTAAACCGGGGGCCAGGGGCCCAGTTTGAGCATCAAGACTTTCCCTGGCAAAAAACAGGGTGCGAGCGTCGAGGGGCACACTTTGATTGAGAAAAAACAGTATGCACCGGTGGGGGGATCAATAATATTTATTCTTCAGGAATGAGTATTCAACCACAAAAAACCGCCCTCCACCCTTGTCACTGCTGCAAGCTTTGAGACGAACGCGCGCGGCGCTAAGGCGAAAAACCCATTTTGAACGCCGCGTGTGATCCATCCGTCTAGCTGCTGCAAGTGCTCAAGACGAAGGTGCGCAGTGCGGAGGCAAGAGCACCATTTTGAAAACGAAGTGTGCTCTATCCTTCTATTATTTGCGAATTCTAACGCTCAGGATCACGAGTGGTGGTGAAATCTCAGGCGAACCTCCCGGCCCGCCCTACCAACGCGTCTGAGGTTACGATAAGGGAAGAGTTATGTACAAGGACGAGGGGTAGTGGAGAAGTCACAACAGGAGGAGGAGAAGGAGGAGGAGGAGGAGGAGGAGAAAGCAGGAGGAGGAGGAGGAGGACGGGGACGATGATGATGAGGAGGAGGAGGGAGGAGGAGGAAGCAGGAGGAGGAGGAGGAGGAAGAGAAGGAGGAGGACGGGGACTATGATGATGATGACGATGATGATGATGATGATGAAGATGATGATGATGATGATGATGATGATGATGATGATGATGATGATGATGATGATGATGATGATGTATGATGATGATGATGATGATGATGATGATGTATGATGATGATGATGATGATGATGATGATGATGATGATGATGATGATGATGATGATGATGATGATGGTGATGGTGATGGTGATGGTGATGGTGATGGTGATGGTGATGGTGATGATGATGAGGAGGAGGAGGAGGAGGAGGAAGAGGAGGAGGAGGAGGAAGAGAAGGAGGAGGAGGAGCAGGAGGAGGAGGAGGAGGAGGGAGGCAGCTCTGGCAGAGCTTCCCTGTCCACAATATTTTCCGGCCTAGTCGCCGGCCCCCCCCCAGCTGCTCGCGGTGGCTACAACCTTGCGGATGATCAGGGCACCTCCCGTCTTCTTCTTGGCCCAACAATTTTTATAGGCGGCTTGCGGTGAAGCCGGTTCGGCTGCTCCACTCCTTGCTCAGGGGTTGGATCCGCGGCTGGAGTTTATCGTGAGTGCCTCGACGGCCAGCCCACCGTCTGGTCAGTAGCCCTCCCCAACGGTGGCCTCGGTCTGCGGTGGGGGTGCTGCGTGCGGTGGCCGGCCTCCGGTGCTCGCCTTGCCTCGGCGAGGGCAGAGGCTGGTGGTACCCAGTCTCGCGTCGCGGAGCCATTGGGCTGTGGGCTTCGCTGGTGAACGGGAGGGGCGGCATCTCTTCGACGACGTCCGGATCTCGGTGTCCCCAGCACAGAACGCTGTCCAGGCGAGGCAGTCGGCCCGCGACTTCCATCGCGGCAGGCCACCTCGTGCCACCCTGGGGCCGCGAGGCCCGGGGGGCTGAAGTCGGAGAGGGTGCGCGCCGGCCCGGAGGCCAGGGTAGGCGGTGCGTGACTGTCTGGTACAGGCGTGTGCGGTCAGCAACGATTGCACAGCGTGTCGCGCCGCCGATCCTGGCCTCCCGCTCCACCTGCAGGGCGCCGGGGCCGCCGCCGCGACACACGAAGCAAGTGTTCCTGGCCGTATAGGGCCAGGAACGCTTGCTTGGCTTGAGCCGCCGCCGGTTCTGGCCCACGCTTCGGCGCGACACGCTAAGCACGTCCCCAGAATGGAACCCGCAGCGTGGGCTCCTGTGCTCTGGATTGTGCAGCCTGTGCAGTGCAAGCTGTGTGGTGCATGCGCCGTGGCGCAAGCCATGCGTGACAGCATGTGTGGTGCAGTCCGTGTGGTGCGCTCCGTGCGGTCCACGCTGCGTGGTGCAGGCTAGTGGGTGCAGCCTGTGTTGTGCAAACTGTGGAGGTGCAGTTGATCCTCAGAACGCTGAAGTCGCCAACCCAAGTTATCGAACAAGCATCCCACCCAGTGAGCCGCTCGCAACTTCCTAGCAACATGCAACTGGCGTCGTGACGCGAGGATCCTTCGTATGCAGATCCATGGCTCGGGCGGGCGAGTGAGGATGGTGATGACGAAATTGACGACGGCGACGCTGATGCTGCTGCTGCTGCTGCTGATGATGGTGGTGGTGGTGATGATGATGATGATGATGATGATGATGATGATGATGATGATGAGTGTGGTAGTGGTGACGCTGATGATTAGGGCGAAGACAACGACGATGACGATAAGTATGACGATGATGATCGTAATGATAATAACGATGATGATGCTGATGATGATGGTGGTGATGCTGATGCTGATGATGGTGATGGTGATGATGATGGTGATGGTGATGGTGATGACGATGCTGATGCTGATGCTGGCGCTGATGCTGCTGATGACGATAATGATGATGCTGATTCTGATCATGAGCAGGATACTGATGCTCATGATCATGATCATGGTGGCAGTGGTTGTGATGAGATGAGGGGTGATGATGAAGATGGCGATGAGGAATGCCACGATTGTGTTGAATACTAAGTGTGCTTTTCATGAACGAACCTATCGCTCAGAAAACAAATGGTTTCGCAATGAGTTTGACATGCGTGCGTGGAAACGCGCGCGTGTGGCCCACATGGTCTTGTTTGATAGTGCTGGCAGTTGCGCGATGAGTGTTCAATGTTTTCGTTAGGTCAACACGTGTGCCTCGAATGGGTTTTGACCAGGATGTCGTGGGGGGGGGACACTGGTTAGCAGCGCATGTGATTATTCCCCACACAGTGCTTGCACTTAGGGGTTCCTGCTTCTTTTCTGAGAAGCTGGGCCTGCGGAGAGGAAGGCGGCTCCGTGCTCGCCGTCGCCGCCTCGTCGCCGCCCGTCGTGTTTTGTCTTGCTTTGCATTGCGTTGCATTGCGTTGCTTTGCCTTGCTTTGCATGGCGTTGCATTGCACTGCTTTGCGTTGCGTTGCTTTGCATTGCGTTGCTTTGCGGTGCTTTGCATGGCACTGTTTTGCATTGCTGTGTATTGCTTTGCCTTGCATTGCATTGCTTTGCATTGCATTGCCTTGCGTTACTTTGCTTTGATCTGCATTGCATCGCTCTGCATTGCTCTGCATTGCTCTGCATTGCTCTGAATTGCTTTGCTTTGCGCCACATAGATTGCACCACGTGGATTGCGCCACCTACTCTGCACCACACTGATGCCACCACCTGGATTGCACCGCACAGATTGCAAGACAACACATATCGGGGTCCACGCTCGCTAACATGTTTGCTTTTGAAGTAGTCAGCCATGCATACTATCATATCCGTGTGCGATCGATGTGCATGTGTACCGACATCTTCTTCAACAGCTCGTTCCGACAAGCTGGGCGGTTCACCTCTGGGCTCCGGGGGGGATCGAGTTTTATCTCTCCGCTGTGCACAGAACCCGTACGCTTGCAACCCGTGGGGTGCACACTGTCACGAGCACCGTGTGCCCTGCCCGTAGGGGGCTCCCGCGGCGCGGTGCGAAGCCCCGCGAAGCCCCGCGGTTCCGCTGCCACGGTGCAGACGCCGGCCTGCGCACGGGTGTGCCCATGGGGCCCGCGGCGGGCGGCGCGTGGGCGACGGTCCCGAGCACCCGGCCAGCGCACCGGGCGCCCACACGAGGCGCCCGCGGGCGGCGACGGGGCGATCGCCCAGGAGACCCGGCCAGCGGGCGAGGCGCCGACGCGGCGGCAGCAGCTCGAAGGCCCAGAAGCGAGCAGTGGCGAAGCGTCCCGGCATGGCCTGTAGGTCCACCGAAGAGTGTTCTGAGAAGCGTTCGTGGTCTGCACGAGATGTTATCAGAACATTTCTGGCTGAGGAAGTCTTGTTTTAACACATCGGGGCTGCGTTGCAAGAACCTTGCTTTTGTGATTTAAAAATCTGCGCGTTCTAAGAGCATGTCGTAATAAACCTATAGGAATGCCCAGACGGGGGGGCCCTGCTCAACAGAAACCCCGCCCCGTTACTTGAGCACACAATCCATCCTCCCGCTCCCCCTCCCACTCCCCCTCCCTCCTCTCCTCCTCCTCCTCCTCCTCCTCCTCCTCCTGCTCCTCCTCCTCCTCCTCCTCCTCCTCCTCCTCCTCATTGCTCCTCCGCCTCCCCCCCCCCCTCCCTCCCCCCCCCTCCACCCGGAGTGCAAGCGCTGCCGAGGAACAAGACGAAACAGGCCCCTCGGCAGGGCGTGCGGGCGCGCGACCCGCCGAACAGCCCGCCGCCGCCCGCCCCCCGTGCGAGGAGCGCCCGCCCCGCAGAGCCGGTGGTTTGCCTGCCTCTGTGGCGCGCTCCGGCAGTTCGACAGGGACTCGCCCTTCCGGTCCGTGAGGATGGGGACCGACCGCCTGGTCGCCCGCGCACGCTCGCGCGCGCGCGGAGGGAGGAGCATCCGCTCCGTGGGCCCCCGTGGCCGGCGCAGCGCCGGCCCGTCTGCCTCGGCGAGGGCCTCCCCCTCCTCCACCCTTTGTCCTCGTCCTCCTCCTCGTCGTCCTCCTCCTCCTCCTCCCTCCTCCTCCGAGCAGGGCAACGTTTTGATGGGATCTTGGCTCAGGGGGGAAGGTTCGAGGTTCGAGGTTTTCGGATATGTTTGTCCATTCCCCGCGGTTTCCTAGTTTCGGGGTGCGTTCCAGCAGGTGCGCCTCGCCGAGAGCGTTCCGGGGCTTCCCGACTCGTTCTGAACGGCCGCCGAGTCATGGCCCGAAGCCAGGGGGCAACGTTGGGAAATCTGGGCTGATCCGGCTTAGTGCCCCCTCATCAAGCTCAGTAGCTCTTAGTCGTTCCCACAAAGGCCTCCCAGGAGTGGCCTCCCAAGGGTCGCGACATTCCGGGGCCCGCGCTGTGGCAAAGATGGCCCCCTCTGCGACCCCGTCTCGGGGACACCAGGGAGCGGCCTGCGGCGAAAGGCCTGGGGACGGGGTCGAGCGCTCCCGGGGCGGCTGCACGTCAGCGTTGCCTCTGCCAGAGCGACCTCTGGTGCTCGGCTCTTCGGGGGGCGCGGGGGGGGCGCCAGACGCGAGCGCGATCGCAGGCCATGCCTGCCGCACCGCACGCAGCGATCGGCAGACCGCGCGCCAGAGGCCACTCCTGCCCAGGTCACTCCGCCGAGAGGGGTGGAGAGGGGGCGGCGGAGGGGCGGACGGCCAGGCGTGTCCGCGCTCGGGCCGCTTCGGCCGTGCCGCGACCGGCCGCGTTCGGCGCAGTTCGGTCGGGCTGGCGGAGGTGCCATTGCCGGCCGCGTCGTGGGTGCTCCTCCGCAGCGGCCTGCGTGCACCTGCCAGGCCCTCTCGGGGAAATGTGCCCCGGCCACTCGTATGTTTAAGCCGGGCACGTCCCTCTACCGGAGGAATATTCAGAAGTAGTCAGAAATTCGTCTGGGGACGATTTCTTAAGCATTTTATGACTATTTGGAGGCATGTTTGGGGTATTTTAAATCTTCCGCCCAAAACCCGCCTGTAGGGGGACATGCCCGACCTAATCTTAAGTCGGGCGTTTCCCTCTACAGGAGGAGTAGTCAAAAATAGTTGCTAGAAAAAAAAGTCGGGACGATGTTTTGACTACTTTTGAACATGGGTTGAATCTTTTTATTTTTCCTTCATAATTTCTGCCTGAAGGGGGACACGCCCGATCTAAACCTATATGCCGCGGCGGCGGCGAGCGGGATAAAGCGGCCCTGCCAGGGGGGCACCTCGGTCCCCAGCAGGTGGTACATCCCAGGGGGGCGGGCAGGGGGGAGGCAGGATCAGGCCTTTCCCTTGTCGTTGTCGCTGTTATCGCTGTCGTTGTTATCCTTGTCGTTGTTATCGTTGTTGTCGCTGCTCCCTTATCTCAAGCAGTGGCGAAGCGTCCCGGCGTGTCCTGCGAAGGTGAAGCGATGGCATAAGAACTTTTTTGTGTGTTTCCACGAAACGTTCTTAGAACATTCCTGGCTTGGGCTGTTTTGTTTTGACACATCGGGTTCATGTTCTAAGGGCATGGTTTTTGTTGTTCGAACACATTTGGTTTCTAAGAAAATGTCGTGATAGGCCTATAGGAATGCCGGGACGGTCGGTCCCTGCTCAATTATCATTGTTATCGTTATCGTTGTTATCGTTGCCGCTGTTGTCGTTGTCGCTGTGATCGAGGAAGCGGGCGCACGGGTTCAGGAGCGTGGATCAGCGACGGGTCCCGCTTCCGTGCGGGGTCGGCGCGCTCCGCTGCCACATCGGGTGGCACCGGCGCCAGTTCTCGGGGGTGCGCCTGCCCCGATCCATGGATCTGGCGACCGCGCACCAGACCCACGGTGTCCCTGATCCAGGTTAGCGCGTGCCCGAGGAGGGGCTTCCTTAGCCTTCACCAGGAGGAGGAGGAGGAGGAGGAGGAGGAGGAGGAGGAGGAGGAGGAGCAGGAGGAGGAGGAGGAGGAGGAGGAGGAGGAGCAGGAGGAGGAGGAGGAGGAGGAGGAGGAGGAGGAGGAGGAGGAGGAGAGGAGGAGAGGGCCCCCCTTGCCAGGGGGGCGTCTCGGAAGCCTCAAGGGCTTCTGAGCAGCCCCGCCGCCTTCCGAGAAGGCCTGCCCCCTCTCGGTTGCCCCCTCGGCGCGCGGTCGACCCAGTCGCCCCCTCCTCGACGACTGTCGAGCAGTGGCGACGCGTCCCGGCTGGCCTATGGGCCCGCCAAGGAATGTTCTGAGACTTTTGTGTGGTCTGCACGAAAGGTTCTTAGAGCAAATCTGGCCGAGACTGTCTTGTCTTAACGCATCGGGCTTATGTTCCGAGAGCATCGTTTTTGTTCTCAGAACATTTCTTGGGTTCTGAGAATCTTTCGTGGTAGGCCTATAGGAATGCGGGGATTTCCTTGTATGCATATGGCAGTGCTCGAATATTCCGTGGTATGCCTATACGTAATTCAGTCGGGCCTGTCCCTCTACAGGGGGAAGATTCAAAAATAGACACAAATGGTCAGTGGACGATTTTATTTAGTATGTTTGTGTATTGTTTGAATGTTGGGGTATTTTCCATTATTCGTCCAACATCCGCTTGTAGGGGGACATGCCCGACCTAAGCCTATAGGTATATAGGAATATCTGGGGTTGGCTTCTAGGAATTCTAGATTATTTCGTGGTCTGCCTGGTGGGCAAGGGGCGGCCGGTCCCTGCTCAAGATTGGGGCTCGGGTGAGGAGGAGGAGGAGGAGGTGGAGGAGGAGGGCCCTCTTGGGCCGTTTTGGGGCCCTCTTGGAGGCCTTTTAAGCCGACCTTGGGGCGGTCTTCGGGACCTTCTTGGGGCCGTCTGGGAGCGTCGGGAAGCCGAACAGGCGAGAACGCCCAAATCCTTCAAAAACCGTATGTGAAATCAATGGTTTGGCCTCTTGGGGCCATCTGAGGAGGCCTCTTGGATGATTATTTTGGGGCGTCTTGGAGGCATCTTGAGACGTCTGGGGGCCCAAAATTGCCCTAGAGGCGCCCCAAAAACGGCGCCAAGACGGCCCCCGAAAGGGGCCCAACAGAGGGAACACAAACCGAACATCCGAGCCTTCCGCCCCAAGAACCCCCCCGGAGGCCCCAAGAGGCCCCCAAACGGCCCTCAAGAGGCGTCCAAACTGCCTCCAAGAGCCCCCCGAGAAGCCTTTCACGAGATCCCAGCGAACATCCAACAAGCTTCAATCCCACAACCCAGGCACGGTGGCGGGATGGGCCGAAGGCCATTCGATTCAAGATCTGTCCCACCCTGTCCAGGCGCGCGCGGGGCCTCGCCATCGCCGATATATGGGCGACGCGCCGCCACCGCCTCGAGGTCAGCGTTCCCCCCCCCCCACCCCTCCAGTTCAGCTCCTTCCCCACCTCTTCTGAGATCCTGGCGTTGCGATTTGTTTTTTGTTTTGGCAGCGGGCGCCTGCGCTCAGTGTTTCGGGCCCCGCGGCCCTCGCGGGTCGATCCGGCTCGAAAAAGGACGCAGGACGATGGGGTCCAGGCGTGATTTCCTGCAGTATCGGACCTCGCGGTCTCCATTCGGACCTCCTCCTCCTCCTCCTCCTCCTCCTGCTCCTGCTCCTCCTCCTGCTCCTGCTCCTCCTCCTCCTCCGCCGCCTCCTCCGCCTCCTCCTCCACCTCCTCCTCCTTCTTGCCCCCCCAGTCGTGCGGGGGCTTGCAGGCCGAGGGGTGCCGAGCCACCGGCGGCCCGCCGTGCAGCACGGCACCGAAGCTGCACAGCGTGTCCCAGCCCGCCAGGAGGCACCCGCGGCCGAGGCGGCAATCTCGTGACAGAAACATCATGTTTTTTATGCCCTGAGATCCAACGCATTGAAAAAATTAAGGTGGAGTTTTTTTGCACTTTTCGGCCTCTAGAGGCCCTCGCCGGGCCCCGGGACCGTCAAAAGACGATGCAGGATGAAAAGCCAGTCTTGGGGAATCGGTCGAGACTTCCGGGGACCCCGTATTGAAAAAATCACGACATCGGATCTCTGGGTACTCTGGGTTTCTTAATAAGCGTGGGGGGGTGGGTACCCCCCGACGGGGGTCAACCTCGCCTCGACGTCGCGCCGCGACGGGGGTCGGAGCGTCTTCGGCGCGCGGTGGCTGCCCGCGACGGGGATCGATGTGGGGCTGTCGGCGGGGTGACGCCCCCCCGACGCATGTTAAGAAACTCGGAGTACAGTCGGGCCGAGGTACAAAAGGTCGAGGTGGGTTCGAGGAGGAGGGCGCCCTGCAGTGTCCTTCGTGCCCGCTGGCTGTGCTTTTGGGCACCCTGGGGAGGGTGCCCTTGGATGTTCTGCCTGTTTTGGCCGACGGAGGGCTTCATGTTCTTGAACCCAGAGATCCGATGTCGTGATTTTTTCAATACGAGGTCCCCGGAACTCTCGACCGATTTCCCAGGATCGGCTTTTCATCCTGACGTCTTTTGACGGTCCCGGGGCCCGGCGAGGGCCCCTAAGGCCCTAGAGGCCGAAAAGTGCGAAAAAAATCCCTTTTGATTTTTTCAATACGCTGGATCTCAGGGTGTTCTTGAAGGATGCCCTCCTGGCCTGGAGCCGACTGAGGAGCCTGGTGGGTCGCAACGTGGGGGGAGTGCGCGGCAGGGGGGGCGCCCAGGGAGGGCCGGGCTCGTGCACGCCCCCTCCGGCGGCTGCCCCGCTGCGGCCGGGAGCTCCTCGCGCCGGCACCGGCCGGCCCGGTCGGCTTCGGTCCGGCGAGGGGCGATGCCCGAGATCCTGGCGTTGCAGGTTCTGTCACAACGGGCATCTCCGCTCGGCTTCGGGCCCCAGGAGCCTCACGGATCGATCCGGCTCGGAAAGTGACGCAGGAAGATGGGGTCCCGAGGTCCGGGCGTGATTTTTTCTGATGTTGTATTTTTACCTA